GCTTAATATATGAAGTCCTCTGTTCAAAATCAATAAACTGGATTCCACTCCTGGAAAGATACAGCAGATGCACTTGTCTCGACTCAGCCTGTTAAGTTCATCTGCAAACCATAGACATTATCCATCAAACTAACATACAGAGACTCTGAAAGGTAAAGAAAAACAGGCACCCTGGCTAAGGGCCTCAGGAACCAGGAAGCTAAATGGTAATGAGCTCTCTGTGTCTTTCGGCCTCATACAGATAGCCCTGACCAGGTGTTCGAAAAACCTACAATCCAGAAACACCAACAAGCGCATACAAAAAGACCTGGAAAAAAGTGCTCTCTCTAGCGAAAAGACCAGGAAAGGGGCAACAGAGAAAAAAAACTTTTAGACGAAACCTACTCCAAGCAAATACCACAGATAATAAAACAACAAAAAACTGTGGACTTGATTCATCTGTCATCAGCAAAGACTCAGTGGTTAGCCTAGGCTCCTGTATTTGTCTGGCTGTCCGGGGATGCCCCTCCACTACAATAGGGTAGTATGAGAAAAAGGCAACTGGGGAGCTGGGACTTGCATCTCTGCACAGTGGTAATGGGTAGCTTTCCTGCCATGCCAGTGGGAGCCACATCAGGGCTGGACTTCCATTCCTACCTGGCAGTAAAGCGACAGTCTTTCCATCACCACAGGTATGGTGTGAGAGGAGGCCAGATGAAAATCCAAGACCTCCATCCCTCTGAGAGGTACCGAGGCCCCATCCAACCTAACAATATCAGAGAAGACAGCATGAAGAGCAGAAACAAGGTACCCTCTCCTGTCAGACAAAGTGATGTCACCAGAGGTCTACTGGGGAGCCTGAACTGCCAACCCCAACTAGCAGTAATGAGATGTCTCTCTCCCCACAGACTGTCAACAGAGTTCAAGTATGGAACCTGCAAATTCACATCCACCTGGCGGTAGTACAGCAAGGTCCCCTGATTCCCACACTGGCCCAGAGGACGCCTGCTAAAAAAGAGGACTCAAATAAGATCTAGAGTCTAAGGTTTCCACCATACATTACAAAATCGTTTGAATAACCAAGAACCAGAAAACCTCAACTTGAATAAGGAAATGACCAATCAACAGATACTAAAACTGAAGTGATGCATGTATCAGAATTATTTCATAAGGATTTTAAAGCAGTCCTCATAAAAATGTTTTAATAAGCATATGAACACACTTGAAACAATAAAAAAATTTCAACAAAGAAATAGAGAAGAGATGAAGAAATCAAATGAAAATTTTAGAACTAAAAAATAACCAATATTAAAAACTCAATAGATGGGCTCAAAAGAATGGAGACAACAGAAGAAATAATCTGAGTACCTGAAAATAAAATAGAAATGATCTAATCTAAAGAATGGAGAGAAAACAGACTGAGAAAAAATGAACAGACCCTCAGAGACATGTGGGACAGTAACAAAAAATCTAACATTTGTGTCATTGGAGTTCCAGAAAAAGAAAAAGAAGAGAAAGGAATAGGGGCTGAATGGGGGCTAAACAAGTATTTGAAGAAATAATGAATGAAAACTTCTGAAACTTCCCAAAAGATGTACACTTACAGATAGAAGCTGAGCAAATCCCAAAAAGGAAAAAAACAAAGAAATTCACACTAAGAAAGAATTATAGTCAAACTTCTGAAAACTACAGACAAAGAAAGAATGCTGAAAGCATTCAGAGAGAAACTACACATTACCCACAGGAGAAAACAATTTGAAAGACAGTGTGTGATACTAAGAACGATGGCTCCCCAAGGATGTTCACATCCTAATTCCCAGCAATTGTGAATATGTGGGGCAAAAGGGAAGTCAGGTTTCAGATCAAATCTAGATGGCTAAATCAGCTGCCTTAAAATAGGGAGATTAATTATCTTGGATTATCTGGGTGGGCTGAATATAATCACAAATTTGCTTAAAAGTTAAATCAGGAGGGCCAGGCAAGGTGGCTCACACCTGTAATTCCAATACTTTGGGAGGCCGAGGCGGGCAGATCACCTGAGGTCGGGAGTTTGAGACTAGCCTGACCAACATAGAGAAATTCTGTCTCTACTAAAACATACAAAATTAGCAGGGCGTGGTGGCATATGCCTGTAATCCCAGCTACTTGGAAGGCTGAGGCAGGAGAATCACTCGAACCCAGAAGGCAGAGGTTGTGGTGAGCCAAGAGCGCACCACTGCACTCCAGCCTGGGCAACAAGAGCAAATCTCCGCCTTAAAAAAAAAAAAAAAAAAAGTTAAAGCAGAGGCAATAAAAGAGAGTCAGAGAAAGATGTGACTACAAAAGAGTGGTCAGAGAGATACAATGTTGATGGCTTTGAAGTTGGAGGAAAGGGCCACAAACTGAAATGTGTGCACCCACTAGAAGCTAGAAAAGCCATGGAAAATAGAAACAGATTGTTTCTTACAGCCTGTAGAAAGGAATACTGCCCTTTCGACACCTTGATTTTAGTTCAGTACGACCCATGTCAGCCTTCTAAAATATAGAACTGTATGTTAAAAAAAACAAAAAAAAAGTGTTATTTTAAGCAACTAAATTTTTGATAATTTATTTCAGCAGCAATAGAAAATGAACATGCAGTTTTAACTAATATCTCATCAGAAATTCTGGAGGTCAGAAGGAAGTAGCACATTTTTCAAGTGCTAAAAAAAAAAAAACTATCAACTTAGAATTTTGGATCAGGCAAAAATATCCTTCAGGAGAATGTGGAAATCAAGACATTCTCAGTCCTCCAAAAATTTATATGTTTAGGCTCTAACTCCTAATGGAACTGTATTTGGAGATAAGGCTTTTAAGAGGTAATTACGGTTAAACGAGGTAGGGGTCCTAATCTGATAAGACAGGTGGCCTTATAGAGATTCTCTCTCCATAGGCAGGCAGGCAGGCGGTCACTAGGGAATGGCCTGTGAGCACATAGTGAGAATCTGGTTTTCGTTTACAAGCCAGGAAAAGAGCCCTCAGCAGAACCTGACCATGCTCGCACCAAGATCTTCGAGTTCCAGCCTCCCTGTGAGAAAGTAAATTTTTGTTGTTTAGTCCACCCAGTCTATGGTACTTTGTTATGGCAGCCTGAGCTGACTAAGACAACTACCAACAACTCTGCACACATAAATTTGACAACTTAGATGAAAGGGTACAGTTCCTGAAAACACACAAACTACCACAACCCTCTCAATATTAAGTAGACAATATGAATAGCCCGTAACTCTTAAAGAAACTGAGTTTGTAATCTTAAAACTTCCAAAAAAGAAATCTCTAGACCCAGATAGTTTCTCTGGAGAATTCTACCAAATATTTGAAGAATTAACATAATTAACATCAATTCTACACAGTTTTTTCCAGAAAAAAACTGAGAAGAGAAGGGAATACTTCCCAGTTTATTGTGTGAGGCTATGATTTCCCTGACACAAAAACTGGACAAAGTATAGAAAAATAAAACACAAACTATACACCATCTCTGGCAGAATAATCAATATAAAGGAACACATTCCAACTGATTTTATGAGGCCAGGGTTATCCTGATACCTAAACCAGAAATAGTACCAAGAGAAAAAAAAGAGAGAGAGACAGAAAGAAAAAAAAAAGTGATACCCTTCATAAATATGATACAAAAACCCTTAACAAAATATTAGCAAATACAAATAATTTAAAAAGTATATACCACAACCAAGTGGAGTTCATTCCATGGATGCAAGGCAGGTTCAATATTAAAAAATCAATCAGTGTAATCTACCATACCAACAGATTCAACAAGTAAAATCACATTATCACGTCAATTGGTACAGAAACAGCATAAAACAAAATTCAACTTCCATTCATGATAAAACCTCAAGTTTGTTTCAGAAGATGGTCCTGGGACAAGGAGCATTGATGTTCTGTGGAAATTTGTGAGAAATAAAAATTCATATCCCATCCCATAGCTACTAAATCAGAATCTGAATTCAAATGCAAATGCAAGTAAAGTGTCAGAAGCACTGTTCTATAAGACAGCAACAGAACAACTGTGGCTACTTTTTGTATTTTTAGTGGAGACGGGGTTTCACCATGTTGGCCACGTTTGTCTGGAACTCCTGACCTCAGGTGATCCACCCACCTCGACCTCCCAAAGTGCTGGAATTACAGGTGTGAGCCGCCACGACTGGCCTGTTAGTGCACTTTCGGTAGGGTTGCTGTTGAAGACTGTTCTGTCATTAACTATCTGAAGATCTATCAAAAAATTTCTCAAACACCAAGAACCATGAAATCTTTACCACAGATGAAATAAATTACTTGTGAATTTTATTAATATAAACCATGTATCCAATTTCCATTATTGCTATGTCTTTCAGGAAGATCAGAGACAATTTAACAGTTCAAAGTTCATAACTGTGTAAGACCATATATTCTAAACTTGACTCGGGGTTGACAGTCTCATCTTCATTTTCTCTGATCTTAGTTTTTATTTATCTAGTCTTGTCATCTTACTATAGGGATTGTTAGATGTCTCCTAAAATCCACTAAAAGTAAAAGAAAGCAACAAATAAACAGATGAACAAATAAGAACTCACCAGGGACTTGGTCATTTTTGGCTCTTCGGACAAAGGGGCAGAGATCTGAGAAAACAGATGGGTAGAGGCAGAGATGAGAGAAGGAAGTGTGCCAATGTCACACATGGACACATACATCATTTACTGCCCATGTGCCTTACTCAAAAATTTATTTCTGGAGCTACAACATTAAAATATCATCCCATCCCATATTGTACGAAGATTTAAGTGCAAAAGTTTTACCATAACATGGTTAATAAAAAAGAAAGATTAGAAACATTTAGATATCCAATAATTGTGGAGTGCTTAAATACTTTATAAAATATCCAAAGGACATACTGTTCTATTACATCATTATACTATCTGATTTCACAGGCCCTTCAAGTTATCATCAACCCTGGTACCTAACTCCTCACTACCACTCTTCAATCTGCTCTAAGTGCCAATTGGTGCCCGGAGACTACTCCCAGAAGCCATTACTGAAACCTCAGATTCACTGATTCCCATGCCTTGCTGCCCATGAGCCCTGCATCACTCATCCTACAATTCCTGATCACAGAGTCTTCAATTCCTCTACCTTAATTGTTCTGGCTCTTTACCAATCAATCCCACGTCCCCATGACTGACCTCTATGCCTGTATGACTACTCACCGCACATCTCCATCAGTCATCCAAAGAGTGCCAATTCCAGGCACACCTGTACCTGCACTGGGGCCTTAGCACACGAATACATCTCCCTCCGCTGACACAACTAGGCTATAAACTCCTCCACATACACAAATAGGAACTCATGAACAAATCTGGCGCAATTCTTGAATGTATAGAATAAATTTATAAATAGAAAACACTTCTAAATCTAATTGTGAAAAGACTATTTACAGAGAAAGAGTTAAGGAAATAAGAAAACTCTTTATCTGCAGTAGTGAAAGCTAAATGATGTCAGAAATAGCATCTAAAAGGCCTCTCCTCTGTCAGAGCCAGAGAGACATTTTCAGAAATAAAAGCACTTGCAGAGTAGCTCTATCTTTGAGAGAAATACTGAAAGAAGTAGTCCAAATAAATGTAAATTGAATCACACATCAAGAAATGTTGAATAGGAAATATTGTTCAGCAATAATTATTGCAAAAGATATATAATTATAAAAAAGGACAATGTGACAATGTGATAAAGAGGCCACTAAAGAGAAAATTAATAATACCCTATGATAAAACATTCCTAATAATCTCAGGAAAAAAATGGAAAAAATGGGGTGCAGAATGGAAACAATGAGCAGAAACTCAATCAATCCAATGAAAATATTATATAAAGAAAAGGCAGAAAATAAAACGGTTAAATAGTAAACATCAAATGGAAGGCATAAAATCAGATAAATCATTATTACACTAAACTGAGAGGTAAAATTCTATCAACAGAGACTACAAGTTGGATTTGAAAAAAACAAAAGATATCTATTGTAAACAAATAGGTAATCTGACACAGAGACAAATATGGATATAAAATAAAGCTCGGGCAAAGACACATCATCCAAATGCAATAAAAGTAAAAACAGGTGTGGCAATGTAAGTATCAAAGTGGAATTCGATGTTAAAAAGTGTTTTTCTTTTTTCCTTTTGGTTGAAAAAGGGGATCCTATAATACCATTTAATACATGAAAAAGGATAAAAAATGCATTAACCATTAGGTGTACGTATGCCCGTCCCTCAGACACACAAATAAAATTAGCAGAAAAGCACATACAACTGCAAAGTGAACTATTAAAGTAAGAGATTTTTATTGTATCTCTTCCAGAATATTAAACAAGTAGATCAAAATTAGGAAAGATAAAGATTTGAAAAATACCAACAGGCAAGACTTAATTAAAGAGAATTTTGGCCCATACAACAAAATATAATTTTTCTCTTATATCTGTTGAACAAAATTCATTGAGTAACTTGGCTTCAAGGAAAATCTTGATAAACTGTTAAAAGTTGAGACTTGATACTCTGCATTTTCTGACAATAGAGTAAAATAAAAAACAGCTAAAACATACTTTAATAATTTGGGAATGAAGAAACTCCCCTAAATAACTAAGGATCAAAGGGAAACATCAAGATGAATTTATACATTTCATAGATAAAGATGTAGTTAAAGAAACTTTACTACCCTAAATGTATCCAGCATAAAACTTAAGAAAATAAGGGAAAGAACAACAAATTACATCAAAAAGTGGGAAAAAGAGAAAGTACGTAAAAAGAAAAAGAGAAAAAATTTAATATTAAAAGAGTAGGGAGTAGTTTATTGGACATTTCAAAATGTCCAGTAAAACAGATAGACCTTTCAGACACTTGATTCTTTTTAAAAAGGGAGAGAAAGAATGAATGATATATAAATACAATAACCGTAATGGTAAAGGAGCTACTAGTCTTGGATATGAAACAGAACAAAATGGAAATGGAAATATGCAATTCTATGTAACATATGCTTTAAATCTTTAGCAAAATACATCATGAAAATGAAACAGAAACGAAAATGTAAACAGATCGGTACGTATAAAAGAGAGGAAACTAAGATGTGCATCATTCACTCCTCAGATCCCTCCTTAGTCCCCACAGTCATCCTCCCCCACAACCCCACAGTCCGCCCTCACTCCGCCCTCAGATCCACCACCAGAGACCCCCAGTCCGTCCTCACTCCGCCTGCAGATCCACCACCAGAGACCCCCCAGTGCCCTCTCACTCCTCCCTCAGATCCACCATCAGAGATCGCTCCGACTTCCACTATTCCATCCATTGACCGTCCGTCCCCATCACTGACCGGAGGGCTCACGACAGACATCAGAGATTCTTCTTGCTCAGTCCACAGATGCTGCCATCCCTCTATTCACCTGCCCCTCACCCACGTTCTCCCAGGACAGTGGTCATTTGCTTCGGGCGGTGACTATAGTCGCAAGAACCAGAACAGGACCCACTTCCTTTTTCTCAATGCCTCCCTACTTCTTACAGCGCTGCCTGGGTGTGCGCATGCTCAGCAGTCTTCGTGGCCGAAGGTTGCCAGTAGTCAACATGGCGCTTTGCCAAACACGCTCCCGTTTCAGTGGCTTAGGCGGGGCGCCAGTATGGCGGCGCCCATATAGACACTCTGGCCTGTGTGCGGCCATGTTGAGGTGATGTAGCGATTGAGGGGCTGAGGGTTGTCCAGAGGGAAGGCAGCAAGCAGAGGTGTGTCCCATCATACTAAGCCAGGACACAATCAAAGCCTGTCACCTCAGGTTACAATCTTTCTCCAGTGCTTCTGTGGACACAACAACGCTGTTAACCAACAGGAACTAATCAGCATTTACGTAATACCGCAAACGCAGCGGAATACACATTTTTTTTTCATGTCCATGGGACACTTAGCAAGATATGAGGTAACCTGGGCCATAAAACAAATCTCAGCAAATTTAAAACAACTGAAATCATACAGAGTTTGTTCTCTGAACACAATAGAATTAAACTAGAAATCAGTAACACGAGGATAAAAGGAAAATCTCCAAACACGTGAAAACACATGCTAAATAATCCCTTGTTCAAAGAGAAAGTCTCAGATTTTTAAAATACATTGAAATGAATGAAAGTGAAACACAACATATCAAAATTTGTGGGATGTGGCCAAATCAGTGGTGAGAGAGAAATTTATACCACTAAGGGCTTACATTAGAAAAGAAAAAAATTTTGAAGTAATAACCAAGTAATAACCAAGCTCCCCACTTCTAGAAAAAGAAGAGCAAAATAAACCAAAAGCAAGTGAAAAAAAGTAAATAATAAGGATAAGAAGATAACTCAATAAAATGTAAAAAGAAAAATAGAGAAAAACCAATTAAACAAAAGCTGGTTCTATAAATGTCAATAAAATTGACAAGCCTACAGAGGAGACACAAAATATCAATATCAAGAATGAAACAGGAGATACCACTGTAGACCATGACAAAATCAAAAGAATAAAGATAATACTACAAACAACTCTACAAATATAAATTTCACAATATAGATGAAATGCATTAATTCTTGAAAAAGCACAAATTCTCTCTTACAAAATGAAATAGTTATGTTGAATAGCCCTAGAATTGAAGTCATAATTTGAAACATCTGAAAAAGAAATCGTCAGGCCTGGATAGATAGATCAGAGAATTCTAACAAACATTTAAAGGTTAACACGAATTATATCCAGTCTCTTCCAGAATAAAGGATAGAAAGAAGCCAATGGAAAGATATTCCAACTCATGAGGCGAGTGTTACTCTGGTATCAGAGCTAAAGACAGAAGAAGAATGGAAATCAGTATTCTTCATGAATCTAGATGGAAAAAGTTCTCAACCAAATAATAGCAAAAATAATTCAACAATATATAAAAATAATTACAAACCACGAACAAGTGATGTTTATTCCAGGAATAAAAAGCTGTCTTGGTATTCAAAAATCAATTTGTGTAACCCACCACGTTAGCAAGCTAAAGATAAGCATATTACGTGATTATATCAATGCAGGAAAAGCATTTGAAAAACATTCAACACCCATTTATAATGAAAAAAAAACTTTCAGGAATTAGGAACAGAGGTAAACTTTCTAACTTTTAAGTTAGAAAAAAATCTACAGCTAACATAAAACTAAAAGATGAAAGAGACTGAATGCTTTCCCATTCAGTTTGGGAAGAAGGAAAATAGGTCTGTGCTCATCATTTTTATTCTACGTAGCTCTGGAAGACCCAGCCAGCTCACAAAAATTCTCTCCATAACCAGACTCTAGCCAGGCTCCTTTGAACTCTCTTGTCAACTAAACCCTGGCTTTTGGGCTTTTGTGTTGTCTATGCATTGCCCAATATTAGTAAGAATCCTAGCAATTTAGTCAGAATCCTCCATCTTCATATCTAATAACAAATTAGATATCATAATCACCATTGATATCTAATTTGTTTTCTTATTGTCTACCATCCCCAGGTGATATCTGATCACTCTGGCATGGTTTCAGCAAGAATCCTGTGAGGTCAGTTTAGCCAGATTCCCTCCTATTAGTAAATTTCTATACACTACCAACCCTCCACCCTACTCTGTGGTTGTAAAATCTCCACTTTCCCCTATATTCAGAGGGAAACCTGAATATATGGAAACTGGAGATTACTGCAAAACCCTATTGCAGTAATCTCTATATCTATTGCAATAATGCCTCTTAATAAAGTCTGTCTTACTATTTTTTAACAGGTGTCACAAATAGTTTTTTCTATAATACAGCTCAACAAAACAAGTCCAAAATAGAAGAATAAAATGGGAGGAATTATTCTACCCAATTTTTTAACTTTTTACGTAGTTACAGAAATCAAGACAGTGTGGTATTAGCAGGGGGATAGACAGTTCAATAAAACAGAATTGAGAACTCAGAAATAGATCCATACAACTACAACCAACTGACTTTTGAAAAAGGTGCTATATCAATTCAGTAGTAGAGTGGTTCTGGAGCAGTTAGATATCATAGACAAAACAACGAACCTCAATCTAACCTCATGTCTTTATTTAAAAAAAGGATCGGCC